TCTCTCTCTCTCTCTCTCTCTCTCGCTCTCTCTCTCTCTGTGCATCGTTAGATACTACAAATTTACACTTTTGTGCCTTAAATCAACATTCCCCCCCCCCCAAGTAAAATACACACAGAAATGTGTTTTAAAAAGGACCTTAAAGGTGTTGAGTAAAAAAAATAAAAAAATAAAAAACACAATAAAAGTTCAATAAAAATTGCCAAATGGACAGGAAAATCCCAGCTTCTTTGATTTCACTGTGTTGATGAGAACCTGATTTCATAGCGCTGCCTCACATTTTCACAGACGACTCTTCGCCGTTTCTAGAAGTAGATCTAAATCCTTTCGGTTCAGAGGGGATCAGGAACTTACTTCCGTGTTTGGTTTAGCTCGTCATCCGGAACCGTACACAGGCAGAGCTCATGAGAACATGGTAAAACGGTGTGGGTTTAAAGCCTTTCTCAACACTGTTAGGTTGTTTAAGAGGCGGGACCTCCGAGTTTAACGTCCATCCCCGAAAGCACCAAACCAAAAGGGAATTTCGTGTAAAGTGCTTTTCCCAAGGACACATTGTCGGACCGAGCTGAAGCTCGAACCCCCAAACTCGCTACCTCACAATTACGAGTCCGGTACCCTAACCACTTGGCCACCGACGCCACTTCTGCTCGAGGGTTGGGGTTTGAGGCCTCGATGCGTTCTAACACTTTTTGGAATCTTTGCAAACTCCATCAGATGACTCGTCTGCCGACTCTTTTGCATTATCGCCATCCCCACGCTTTGCACTTACTTTCCAGGCGTTGTGTTGAGCTACCAATCGCCAGTGTCTCCTGTAGAACGGGCCTCTTTTCCCGACGAATCAGAGGAGGCAGACAGACGTAGAATGTTGCCATCATCGTTGTTATTGTCTTTATCATTGTTGAGACCCTCCTCGAAAAAAAAGTCATCCTCCTTTTTCGATGAGGTCACGAATCTCAAAGATGGAGGCCCGCTCTTCACAGGGTTTAGGAAGCAACATGCTGAGACATTTCTCAAAATATCTGTCAATCGGGTAGGAAATGCTCGGTTCATAACACGAGTAGTCTGTCTCTTCGAAAGGTAGTGAATTGTAGCACAGAGACCACATAACCACACCAAAGGCGTAGTTGTCCATCTTGAAGGCGTCCAGCCGCTGGGAACTATCGTAGAATTCTGGAGCCATGTACGGTGCTCTCCCGTGCCAAAAGGAAGGTTTGTTCGAGCGGTTGCGAACAATCTGGGCGGAATCTAAGTCGCTCAACTTAGCTATGTCATACTCGATAGAAACTAGGATGTGTTCTAACGTTATATGCCCGTGCACAATTCCCCGTTCGTGAAGATAGCAGATGGCCTCAGCTATTTGCGAGAGGAGAGACTCGGCGATATAGTCAGCGTACGGGATGCCTTGATCCAGCGTACCATCCATGTGCTCCATTATAATTGCGTAATACGTGTCGCACTGATGTGCTGATATCAAGCGGATTATACGTGGGTGATCTATCGTCTTCAACAACGAGACTTCCTTTTCAAAACGACGCGTCAGTTTGATTGCCACGTTGGCAGAGTCTATGAATGAGCTGCCGGACTGAAAATACTTCTTCACGATGACCGCCTGATCCTCTTCTTCATTACTGACTGCCGTGACAAGGTTACTTCCCTCACCGTGTCTAATGACTTCCGTCTGAGTCGTCGCTAGGGACTCAATAACGTCGCCAATGACGTAATCAATATTTGGCGTCTTGGGCTCAAACGTGACGTAGGCAGAAGCAAGACCTTGTGTGCGAGCAGACGTGGATTCGCCGACCCCACTTGCCCTGGGTGACCCAGACAAGCGTCCCGGAGAATGATTTATGGGTACGATCAAACCCGGAGAATGTAAAGTCGATACCATCCACAAACTTTGAGAACGTTCTGTGGATTCCCTGGACAAACTCTCAGAATTGGAAGTGGCTTCCGTCGACGAACCATTGGGATTTTCTGTGGCTTCCGTCGACAAACTTTCGGAATCTGAATGTTCTGTGGGTACTGTCGACAAACTCTGAGAATGTTCTGTGGGTACTGTCGACAAACTCTGAGAATGTGTTGTGGGTACTGTTAACAAACTCTGAGAATGTTCTGTGGGTACTGTCGACAAACTCTGTTCTGTGGCTCCCGTCGACAGAATCGGAGAATGTTCTGTGGGTACCGTGGGCAAACTATCGGAAAGCTCTTTGGCTACTGTTGACAAACTCTGAGAATGTTTTGTTGGTACTGTCGACAAACTCTCAGAATGTTCTATTGGTACCGTTGATAAACTCTGAGAATCTGTAGTAGATACTGAGGACAAACCCGGAGATTGTTCTGTAGATACCGTTGAAAAACTCTGAGAATGTGTTGTGGAAGCTGTGGATAAACTCTGAGAATGGTCTGTGGGTACCGTGGACAAACTCTGAGATGGTTCAGTGGAAATTGTCGACGAACTTTGAGAATGTTCTGTGGATACTTTGGGCAAACTCTGAGAGTCTGTTGTAGATATCGTCGACAAACAATGAGAATCTGTGGAAACCGTGGAGACATTCTGAAAATGTTCTGTGGGCACCGTTGACAAACTCTGAGATGGTTCTGTAGAAATTGTCGACAAACTCTGAGAATGTTCTGTAGCTACCGTGGCCAGACTCTCAGAATCTGTTGTGGCTACTGTCGAAAAACTATCGGAATGTTCTGTCGGTGCCGTGAACGAACTCTGAGAATGTTCTATAGATGCCGAACGATCTGTGGCTACTGCCCTCTCCGCACTCCGTGGACTCTGACCGTCTTTCTGAAGCTCTGGGTCTCGACGCTGACTGCTGGGCAAAGACGTGGAACGTTTCTCACCTCCGTGTGACGAGTTTTCTGTATCTCCATCGACGACATCCTCGCCCTCCGGTTTGGTAAAGTCGAGAGATTGAACATTAAGACCCTGTCCATCAATCTGCCTTTTGAGGGCCTCACAAATCTGATTGATATCAGTTCTCTGTTCTGGGTGTTTCGATAGTAGATGTTTGAGGCTATACTTTGAGAATTCATTGAGACGATGTGGAGATTTTTCTACGTGAGCAAGATAATCCAGACCTACTGCTGGCAAGATGAAGTAACACGCAGACCACATGACCACTCCGAAGGCGTAGTGGTCCATCTTGAAGGCATCTCTCGGCATAGACTCGTCCTTCATCTCTGGCGCAAGGTATGCCTCTGTTCCCCTCCACACCCGAGGCTTAACCGACGTCATCGCTGAAATCTTCTGTGCTCTCGTGAAATCACACAACTTCCCCACACCCTCTTTTGTTACCCGAACGTTTTCGAGTTTTACATCACCGTGAGCGATTCGACGTGTCTGGAGAAAACACAGCGCTTTCGAGATGTGGTAGATCACGTTCTGAACTCCTTGAAAGGGGATTCTCGCGGAGATGCAGTCGAGCAGGGTATGTGGAATATACTCCAACACGAGGGCACGATAATCCAGGCACTGATACGTTGACGTCATCACGATAATGTTGTCGTGTTTGAGCTCGTTTAGGAGCGTCACTTCGTCCTTGTAGCGTTCCATCAACTTCCTGATCTCCCCGAACCTCTCTCGACTGGGTCTTCGGGGGAGGAGAAATTTCTTGACCACTGACAGTTCCCCCGGTTTGGAAAAGTAACCGACTGTAAACTCAAGTTTAGAATTTCTCTTAAGAATCGCCAGTGTTTCCTTGCCGGATGGTACTTGAACAGTTCCATCTCCATTAAAGGACTCCACGCGAAACATGACGTGGGGTAAAATAATTGCTTGGCACGACCACGATAGAAGATGTTATTTGCACACACCACCTCTTGATTCGTCACACTGCCGGAACAGAAACAAACAAAAAACAAAACAAAACAAAAAGCACCAAAAAGCACCAAAAAACATACTCCGTACGAAAACCACAACTTGTCAGAAAGCCACGCAGCCTTGAAAGGTCAGAAAAAAAATCCACGTTGTTGGCGAGATAGGTTAGGCTACTCACAAGAAGCGCTTGGCGCTAACGCCGAGTATTCAACTTTAATTTCTTCTGTCCTGTCTGTTGGCAGATCGTAATCCAGAGTGAGTAAACCTTGTACCGTGTGCACAAATGAGCAGGAAATTGCTACTCACGGTGCAGACAGCTGACGTCTTTTGAGAGAACCTGAGACTTGGCGAGTAAGCTGTGATCATGGAAAGAAAAGTGGGTTTTCTTTTTGGAAGGGGGAGGGGGGGGGGCTGGGGTATGGGGGGAGGGCGAGTGCGTAAGAGGTTGTGGGTGAGTGTATGTTTGTTTGTGTATTATGTGTATGTATGTGTGGCAGTGCGTGTATGAATATGTGTGTATGTGTATGTGATTGTGTGTGTACGTCTCTCTCTTTCTCTTTGTCTCTCTCTCTCTCTCTCTCTCTCTCTCTTTCTCTCTCTCTCTCTCTCTCTCTCTCTCTCTGTGTGTGTGTGTGTGTGTGTGTGAGTGTGTGTGTGTGTGTGTGTGTGTGTGTGTGTGTATTTGTGTGTGTGTGAGTCTGAGTGAGAGTGAAAAAAGAAAGGGGAACAATTTAGGGGGGGGGGGGGGTGTTGGTGTGCTCATTTTCACTGACGTTACAGAAATGCGAAACCATAGACTCACCGGCAGAAAGTGTTGTGTGTTACTCCTGAGCACGGTGTGGGTTTCATTTACTTCCTCTCTCCCTATACCGTCAGGTACAAAAGGCAGAGAGCAGTCGGCGCCACGGTTGTCTGTCCCCGGCCACGTCCTCCAATTTCGGCACATCTAGGCCCTGGGTGATTGCCTCATCTCTTATTGTGTCTCTATAGATTCCAGTTTGCCCTCCTCGTTTTCTTTTTCCACTTGGTCTCCAATACCATGTCTGATAGGGCAGTTTTGTCTTCGGTGTTCTCAGAGCACGTCCTAGATATCTCCATCTTCTCTTCTGTTTATGGTTGTGTTGATATCTTCTACTCCAGCTTTTTCTAATACTTCAGTATTTGTAATAATTTCTTTCCATTTTATTAGTAAAACTTTTCATAAACATCTGGTTTGGAAGCTTTTAAATTTTTGTTGAATTGTTTCGTTTGTTTTTCCATATCTCTGAACGACACGTCAAACCGGCCAACACATTGCTATGATATATTTTTAATTTCATCTTCAATGAGTGAGTTTCACACAGAAGACAATTAAATGACCAAGGGTTCTGTCCGTAAAGCCTGTAACTATAGTATAGTCTATAGTATTGCACATTCAGTTAAAGCCGAACAGTTGTCCGTCCTCTTTCTTTTCAGAAAAGGATGCTTGATGTAGTCTCAATATAAAAAAAAACAACTATCTTTTTTTTTGTGATCTTCAAAATCCAGCGATGAAAAGAGTCATCCACGAGTCATGTTGTTCAATTTGATACGCTACGCTGGTTCCGAATTTGATGTTATTTTTGTGTTATGAAGTAGTTTTTTTCCCGTTTGGCAATTTTTATCGAATTTTTATTTTTCGGCTCAACACCTGTTATGTCCATTCAAAAAGACATTGCTCTGTTGATTTTGCTTAAAATCGTTGATTAAAGGCAGACAAAATGTAAATTTCCAGTTTCCAAGGACTCCCTCAAGCTTTGCAAGGCATCACATTTTCTAGCTAATTTTAACTCAGAAACCAGTTGACTCCTACCTCCTTCAATCCAAAATATCTCGGTTTAAAAAAATTGAAAACAAAACAAATCAAGAGGCCGTAAGACGATACCTAAAACTCCATATGAACAAAAATCGACGGTCGCCTGACTCCAACCTCTCTTTCTTCTC